TTTTGATTAAGGGAGTGACATGGTCAGATCTGTGACTTGGCCAGATTATTTTAGTAGCTGTGAGGACCTTGGTTTGGGAAGGGAAAGAATGAAAGCAGGGTCTCTAACTAGGAGGCTGGAACCATCCCTCCAGGCCAACGACTCCAACTCTAATCCTCATCAGGGTCTGCCTGATTAAGGGTTTATGAGTGGGGAGAATGTGGAAAATGCACAATGGGGAAGGAGATGAGAGGCAAGAGTGAGTGAAGAGTAAGAACAATAGTACTGCCCCCTTCTTCTCCCCATTGCCAACAAAGACTCATTGAATCTCAGTATCTTAAATTGGCAGGTCTGTTTTCCCCTTTGGAAATAGCAGAGGTTTTTTTATTACTTAAGATGATGAAAAAGAACTCAGTCTACATATTATATTACCTAACTTGCATTAGCAAGTGGTTAAATTTGGTTTTGACCACCATGCCTTTCACCCAGAATAGTCAAGGACGTAGGGTGGTACAATGGAAAAATTAGCTGTATTTGGAATTAGAAAACTTATGGTGTTCATATCCTAGCTACACCAATTAACTGTGTGTGTGACAGTGAACAAGGCATTTCGCACCTATTGGCCTCAGTTTCCCCACCTGAAAAATGAGAGCATTGGACTAGATGACCTCTAAAGTACCCTTTACCTTATGACTCTAAATCTGTGATCCCTAAGAATAGACTGGCACTTTTCCTAAGCACTCCTTTTTTGTGCTGAGTGCCTGAAGAGCTCTCCTTTCTCCCCTCTCACCAATTCACCCTGCCTTTTACACAAGGTAGGGCATTTATCTTCACCAGTGAAGAGAGAATCTCGTATCAATGGACTTTGGGACAGGGAGATACATCTCTATAAGTAGAAGACTACCCAAAGGCCTACCAGAAAAGTAAAATGTTAATCTGTAATGCATAAAAACTTGGTTTCATTAGGGCATTTGAAAAATCATTACACACAATCACTAAAAACAGGCTGAATGGAATTGAAAGAGCCCTGGTTTAGTAGCCAGTGTATTCAAGGTCATATGCCACCTCTGCAGCTTATTACCTTTATGACATTGGGAAAATCATTTAACATCCCTGGGCCTCAATTTCCACATTGTAAAATGAGGGGACTGGATTGGATGGCCTTAGGGGACCCTTCCAGGTCTGAATCAACATTTATTGAGATGCTATATTCAAACCGCAATGCTAGGTGTACTGTGCTGGGAATACTGAGACGTGTAAGATGTGATCCAGCTGGGGAAGGAGAGCGTGCACATAGAAGATGATGAATTAAAGGACAAATCAGTATGTAAGCATGTTTTTAAAATCAGCATATTTCAAAGGCCAGTCAAACCCAGCAGGGAGGCTTTAGGCTTGTTTTGGCAGGGGAATGATTTGGAAATTTGGAATAAATAGCAAGAAGCATGTGAAGTAAGAGAAAATTTCCACCCAAACTGGAGCTGCTTGTAAGAGTTATGGGCCTCAGGATGCCACTTGAATTCTTTTTTAATTTTAATTATTTAATTTAATTTTAAGAAATATTCCAAACTTGTTAATCATCAAGAAAAATATTCAAACATTACAGATAAGAATAGAAAACAATCATCTGTGAAACTATAAATCCCATTATATTCTTCAAATAACATAATTTTTATTAAAGTTTTTTTATTTTGTTAAAATAAGTGTATGTTATTGTTAATGACACAGCAACAAAGATGCCCTATTTGCTTCCGTATTCCCATCTAAGCTGTTTTTTTTAATGGATTTTGTTGCTTTGAATATTATTATTTCACATTGTAATAGTCAATGTATGTGTTATTTTTCTGACAATTACTTCATTTAAGTCTTCCCTGTATTTCTTAGCCTAGCCTCTTGCTTTATTTATTTATTTTTCAGTCTGTACTTGTCTTTTCACTGCTATAAGGATTGGGAAATTCTTTTTACCAGTGAAACTAGGCAACTATTCTGCAAATTATAGTTTTGGGCTGTTGCCTGGGTTCACTGAAGAATTAAATTACTTTCCTTGAATGACACAACCAGGAAGTATCAAAGACAGGTAGGATTTGAACCCAAATTTTCTTAAGTGTGAGCCTGCTTCTCTATCTATCATGCCATGCTGACTTTCTTTTTTCTTAGCTATTCTTCTTATCTGTCATTTCTTGTGGTGTAAAAATACTACATGGTATATAAAAGCACAGTATATTTTACCATGCTAAAGAGTTTCATGGCTTTTGGTGTCATTGTGGATAACATTTTCTAACAGAAGAGCAAGGGGAAAAGATGGAGTCTATGTTGAAAAGCAGCATGGCATTGTAGATGGAGCCCTAGATCTGAAGTTGGAAAGACCTGGATTTAAATACAGTCTCAGACACTCTGCAACCCTGGGCAAATCATCAAGCTCTCAGTGTTCTGGGCATTGTATAAGTTAGAGACAAATTGCAGGTCTGCCTTTGTGGATAGCGTTCCCCATGCTGATTATTTTTGGCCCAGCCTAAAAATCTAAAACCCAGCATTCAGTAGTGATAACCAAATGGATATGTTACCTTGTTCTTCAAAGATATAGGAATGAAGGAAGGAAATGAACATTTATTACATGCCAGATACTGTGCTTAAGTACTTTATAAATATCTCATTTGGTCCTTACAACAATCCTAAGAGGTAGGGGCTATTATTAGTAATCAAAATAAATATTTATTGAATTGTGAATCTATTGCAACCTATTCATTATACAAATGAGGAAACTGAGGCCTGGTGAAACTAAAAGACTTGAAAAGGGTCATGTAGATGGCAGAGCCAGGATTCTAACCCAAGTCCCCTGATTCCAAATGTAGCATTTACACATTTATACGTGTTTTATGGAAACATATTTATCGTGGCAACAGACTTCAAACAGAAGCTTCCAATGCCTTGTCCCCTTATCATGATTATTTGCCATATACCACACTGCTTCCCCCAGTGTGATTCAACTGTGCATCTCCACTGTCACAGCCACTGCCATGGTGCAGACCTTTATTACCTCATGCCTGGATCACATCAAGAGATGTACCTTGCAACATTCATTCTCCCTCCCTAACAATCAATTCTCTATCTACTGTCAAATTAATTTTCTCTAAATATCACCTATATCCTATTAATTTCCCCTGCTTATAAATTTTTAATAGCTCCCTTTCTTTTTTAAAAATAATATTTTACTTTCCCCAGTTACATATAAAGATAATTTTTAATATTCATTTTTAAAATTTTGTGTTCTAAATTTTCTCTCTCCCTCCCTCTCTTCCTCCCTCCCTGAGACAATATGCAATTTGACATAGGTTATACATGTTCAATCATACAAAACATATTACCATATTAGTCATGTTGTGAAAAAAGACACAAGCCCAAAGGGGGGGAAAACACGATAAAAATACAGAAAGTGAAATATACTGTGCTTTGATCTGCATTCAGATTCCACTTCTTTTTCTGGAGGTGGAGAGCATTTTTCATCATGAGTCCTTCAGAGTTGTCTTGGATCGTTGTATTGCTCAGAATAGCTAAATGATTCACGGTTGGTCATCATTGCTGTTATTGCATACAATGTCTCCTGGTTCTGCATACTTTGCTTTGCATCAATTCATATTAATCTTTCCTAGATCCCTGTTTCTTACAGCATCAGCTCCTGTTTTGTATATATTGTTCATAAGACCCTACAAAACCTAAACCCAACTTATTTTCCCCAATTTCCTAATACTTATTCTCTTCTGTAGATGAGCTGTCCTTAATGTCTCACAAATTCTATACCATGGTTATTGTCACTTCTGTAATTTTGTTCACATGTCTGGAATACTTTCTCATTTCTTTTCTGCCTTTCCAGATCTCCTCATCCTTTAGAACATAGCCTATATTGCCCCTTCTCCAAGAAACCTTCCTTTACTACTCTAGCTCTTATTTGTTTTTTTTTCCTCCGAATTTCTACTATATTTATTTTGCATGCTTTCTAATTATGGCACTAAATTATATACTGACTTTCATCAATCGTATGCTTATTCTGGCTTGATCAGCATTTTGATTTTAAAATACTGGTGTTCTTATTTCAGATGGCTATAGTTGTGAGGTTTTTGTTGCTGTTTTTCCTTGTTCACCTCAGTTCGTGATTTAAAAAAAAATCTGGTGTAAATAGCATCCCAATTTGATATGGATGCTCTCATGTTTCATGGGAATGGCAAGTTCCTGGCCCAATTTTGTGTGGTTTATTAAATTTATTTTTAATCATGTTGTGAAACTTTTGGCCAACTCCTTGAAAGTGGATTTTAACATATCTCCTCTTTGGCTGAAGGAGTTTCCTTTCCTAAACTGTCAGGGTTCCAGTTTCAATGTCATTTGAAAGCCTTACTTCATTTGGGATACGCCATGCAATATAAAAATAGGCTTTAGTTATTGTAAAATAAAATAAATATGAAGTGATTTATTTGTACTGTCCCCTTGTACTTCTTGGAAAAGGCATTTCTAGACATACAACTAAAGATGTTATTGCTAAATCATTTTTTTAAAATTCCAAGCCAGTTATGTCAAACATAAACCCTTTATATCACTATGTATTGGAAATAAAGGTTCAAAGTAGCAGCACTTTACACGAACCCTGCTGTTGATGTGAACACATATGTGACTTCTTTTCTATGAATAAATTGCTTCATAATTAAGGCTTAAAGAAAGGATCATAACCTCATCACCGAAAATTTCATTTGCATTCTTAGCTGAGCCTATTTAATCCAATGGAGTAATACAGGACAGGACTTGGTCATAAAGACCTAATTAGGGATAAAGACCATGAAGATTTACGCATTTTGCCTTTTTCAAGATTGTAATGCTATAATCTTCTTTACCCAAATGTACTTTGAGAATCCATCAGAATATCTAGCTAATTGATTAGATATTAGTCCTGTCAAACTATGTTTATGGCATTACTGAAAAGAGACACTAATGCATAAAATGATAGTGGGAGTTTTTCTAATGGACTTTGTTTTTAGCCTCCACAGCTATAAGTTGTGAAGTTTTTTGGGAGAAGGATCCTAACACGCGTATTTGCTACCAATTCAATCTCTTTTCCATTCTGTCTTGGAGTGAGGCCCGTTCTTCATGCAAGATGCAAGGAGGTGATTTACTAAGTATTGTGGATGGGACAGAAGAAAATTTTATAAGGCGTAAGTAGATAAATGGTCCATATTTATGTCTACCCAGTTAAAATAACTGCTGTCAGTAATCAAGTCCATTCCATGCAAAACCATGCCCCTAAGACTAGTATGGAAAATGAAACAGGTTTTTTTGTTTGTTTTTGTTTTTGTTTTTTTCTTGGAAGTGGTTTTCCTATTATCATGGAGTTTCCAACTACTTATTATCCCACTTGGCACTCTGGGAAACTGCCCTCACTTACTTCTCTGAATATCAAATTGTAAACAGGGTGACTTTGTGGCAGGAAGAGAACTCCAGCATACCCTTTGGTAACAACCGATGTCCATTTAGTAGAGTAGATTTCCATTTACTTACTCAATAGAAACTTAATGAGCACCTGCTATCTTCAAAACCTTGTGATAGGCTCTGCAGGGCCCACTAGATAAATGTCATATGTGGCCCCTGCCATCAAAGATGACCAAATCTAAGATCTAGCAGGGACGAACATATATGAAAAGTAAGTACCAATAACAAAATGAAATTATATGCAATGCTACAAAATAATGAACAATTATGGTAAGTGCTATAAGTTATAGTTACATTTATCCAGAATTCTGCTGTTCCCTTGAGGTGAGAGGCAAATGAAGGTAATATTCTTTATCTTCTTTTAACCTTGGGATCGAAGCAATATAACAAAAAAAAAATCAGGTTGTTATTTTTTGCTTATTGTATTTTTTCCATTGAAGGCTTCAGTTTGAAGCTTGTTGCCCTAATAAATCTGTTCTCATAAAACATTTATAAATCTGTGGTGCTCTTGCCTATATACTATGGCACACCTTTGCTGATCCCCCTCCATTATGTGGTAGGATTTGTAAGGCTGTGGTTAGAATATGTGTGTGTTTATACATATACATGTATGTGTGTATATGTATGTACATATAGTTTAGCACTTTGCAAATAATATCTCATTTTAGCCTCACAAATGACTCTAAGGGGTAAGTACTATTTTTATCCACATTTTACCAAAGAAGAAGCTGAGGCAAGCAGAGGTTCAATGACTTTTCCAGGGTCACACATTTAGGAAGTTTCTAAGACTTGATTTGAACTCCTAATTCCAGGTTGAGTGTTCTGTCCACTATGCTCTGTGTGTGTATGTGTATGCAAGTGTGTATTGGCACACACAAATATGTATATATATATATATATATATATATATATATATATATATATATAAAGAATAAATCACATATATGTATTGTGTGTATATGTATATCTAAATCTATGCATATTGTCTCTATACACACACATATAGCCATGAATGTAAATATATATTTACATATACATATGTGTATATATGAATCTTTAAATCCTATATATACACATAAACATAAGACCTTTATAGATTCATGACTGTTTTATGAAAATGGGTATATATCTATATAACATATATACATATACTTGTACATATTACCATACAACGTGTATATATAAAATTATGCAGTGTGTATATTTATATGCTGCTGTGCATATATTCATGTATGTGTATGTATATAGATGTAAAAAAAAATAGAACATGAGACCTATCCTCCCATTTCCAGTTGTTTTCAATACTGTTGATCAGTAATTATACTTTGAAAGTCATTCAGCAAAGTTGAAACTTATTCACAAAGGCCAGAGAAAGGAAGCCTGTCCTCTCAAGGGTTCAGTAATGATTGTAATTGATCTATATAGAAAACTTTGGGTTATGCAATTTCTACAACTCGTATTTCCTCCTTTGTAACATAGAGATTTTATGTTTCATACTGATTAATATTTTTAAAGATTTAAAAAGATGGTAGAAGAGCACCAGACGATAGTGATCATCTCAGTTTTCGCTGGGCTGGGCTGTGCACAAAGATTTTGGTTTGCACTAATGCCTTATCTCATAGTTTACTAATAGATAATGGATAATTACCTTTTCACTTCAGTTCTAAGCAGTGTAATTATGCCAAACATAGACACTGAAATTTGGTATTATTTACATCATGTAAATGTAACATGTAAACATAAATAACACATGCATATTATTTACATTTACACTTCCATTGTATGTTACACAAAGAATTACACAATAACATTTCATAATTGTTGTAAGCTTAGAAAATCAACATTTAAATATTTTAAAATTGAGTTGTTTCAAAGTACAATTTGATACATACTCTAACCTTTAACATACAAGGACCATTTTTCACAAGCCCATCGTGCTAGGTGCTCAAAACAGGAAGAGGATTTGAAGTAAGTAAATCAGTCAACAAGTATTTAAGTCAGTCAATGAATATTTATTAAGGCTCCTACTATGTGCCAGGCACTGTGCTAAGTGCTGGGAATACAAAGAAAAGAATAAACACAGTCTCTCTCACATTCCTTCATTGTGCAATGAGATCCTTGAGAGTAGGGACTGTCTTTTGCCTTTCTTTGTATCTCTACAACTTAGTGCTATGCCTGGAACATAGTAAGAGTCTTAATAAATGTTCCTTGACTGACAAATATTCTAACGGGAGAAAATATGCATAGATATATACATACACATACTACATATATGTAATACATGTGTATATACATATATGTGTGTATGTGTGTGTGTGTACACACACACACACACACACACACACACAGAAAGACAAATACATAGTATAGATGGAAACTAATCAGAAAGAGAAGGAGCTAGCATTTGGGGAAGGGTAGGACCATTAATGCCTGTGGAAAATAGGATTTGTTGGGGCAGCTAGGTAGTGCAGTAGATAGAGCACTGGCCCTGGAGTCAGGAGGACCTGAGTTCAAATCCAGCCCCAGACACATTAACACTCACTGTGTGACCCTGGGCAAGTCACTTAACCCCATTGCCTCATCAAAAAGCAAAGAAAGAAAGAAAGAAAGAAAGAAAGAAAGAAAGAAAGAAAGAAAGAAAGAAAGAAAGAAAGAAAGAAAGAAAGAAAGAAAGACAGAAGAATGTGTGCAGTCTTGAAGGAATCCAGGAAAATCAGAAGGGAGAGGCAAGGAGAAAGAGCATTCCAGGAATGGAAGACAGCCAGTACAAAGGCATTTAGGAGATGAAGTATTGTGGGTGAGGAACAGCAAGTAATCCAGAATGGTTGGGTCAGAAAGCAAGTAAAAGGCAAGAGAGTGTAATACTTTGGTGTCAAACTGAAAAAGAAAGAGATCCCTGCAGGCTACAAGAAAATTACAAATTAACGTTGTCTATGTTTTATTGCATTTTGTTGTATTTTTATTTATTTTGTTCAATATTTCCCGATTCCATTTTAATCTGGTTCAGGCCTTACTGCAGAGTTTTGCAGGCCCAGTTTAACACCTCTGGTGCAAACAGATTAGAAAGGGGGGCTAAGTTGTGAAGGGCTTTAAATGCCAAACAGAAGAGTTTATGTTTGATCTTGAAAGTAATAGTAGGGAGCCACTAGTTTATTGAGTGAAGGAGAGAGGGTGATAGGGTCAGACTTGGGCTTTAGTAAAGATCACTTTAGTTAGATTTTTAGTAAAAATCACTTTTGGTTTGGTTAGGTTAGTTTCTTCCCTCATGGGATTTAAAGTTTTAAAATATAGACTCTAGGACTTTTCCCTTCGTTATCAGTATGTCCCTCTTTTTCTTCCTATCCTCCCACTGTGACCCTAGTACCTTTCAGATTCAGTGTGCTGTTGAAAGTAATGATGATTAATCAATTTTAGGAGAACACAGTGGATTATTTACATTACCATGTAATTAAGTAACTTGGCAGGGTACTTCCCATGCATACACTATTTTTAGTGTGTTCAGTGTTAGCTCATATCAAGTTTAGGAAACTTCTCTCCTTGGTAGAAAGGGCCTCAATTGTTTCTAGTAGTGTTGATGTATCTTTTGAAATAGTTCTGTGAACATCACTTACCACCATGTCTCATAGCTAAGGCCTCATTCTGCCACCTCACACAGTGGTGAGTAACATTTATCATTGGTGTGTTGCTTTTGTGGTTGTTGTTATTGTTATTGTCCTTTGTACTCAAAGAGGACCATGATATCAGGGAGCTGATACCATGACATGCAAGTGAATTGGATTTAAGTGAGGGGGCGCCATGCAAAGTCACCAGCCTCACGTTCTCCAGAGCCATCTGGGTCCAGTGGTGAGATATAGATCAGAACTACTGGAGATGGCCCAGGATGCAGTGGGAGACCTTGTCCTTTATAAGCTGAGGTCTTTGACAGGTCTCAGTTTGCCTGAGGCAATGCCCATTTAGTGATTAAGGCTAGGTTTGGGGTTAGCCTCTCTGTCAGAGCCATAATCATGGCAGGAAAAGGAAAAAGAAGAACCCTCAGAAGATCTGACCCCAAGGATGAGAATAAATCTGGGGTTCTGAGAATAAAAGCCTTCAGTCTGAATTTGAACATTGTCAGAACAACTTCTTCCCTAAGGGGAGCTCCCTAAGGTCCTAAATAGTTTCTCCCTGTAGTTGTCTCTCAATTCTGTGGATCAGTGCCCTGTGTCTCAATATCCATCGATATCTTACCTAACCTCGACTAAGCCAGCCTCCCCTTGACTAATCCCTGTGCTACCAGCTTGTGCCGATATTTGCATTGCCTGATTTTATTACAAACTTTATCTGTCACCTACTTTGTTGTTCCAGAAACAATTGCTCTGATTCCCAAAACTAACACTATATTCATTCCAAATGTTATGTGCATCCATCAAAAACTAAAGGAGATAGTCCCATTTGAAAACTTTTGTTAATCGCTGTTGTTTTCTTTGAAATGGTGAAAAGCCCCACAGATCAACTAGGTATTCCTTCACACTGTTTAATAGTATGCCAGATTTTTGTCCAAATCAGTTTGCCTCTTCAAATGTCACTTTGAAGTGAACACACAAAGCAACACAGAATGTTCAATTATCAAGTTGAAACACGATTTCACAGTTTGATAAATTAGATATTTGTGGCACCTGTTTTGATCTAAAGTGACATTTTTGTATCTTACAAGAAGCATTTGGGTGGCTTGTACATTGGATTTTTAGATTTATGGTTCTCTCTAAAGACTTTGTGATAGTACTTAGGATCAAAGATGTAGATTTGGAAGGGAGCTAAGATTGAAATGTATTCCAACCCCTTAATTCTACAGATGAAACAATTGAGGCACAGAGAGGTTTAATAATTTGCCTGAGGTCAGACAGGCAGTAAATGACAGCTCCAGGAGTCAAACCTAGATCATTTGGGTTCATTCCCTCTGACAGTTGGGCAATGGGATCACACTGGCCAGGAAGGATGAGGATCAGGATCTAGCAAAAGCAGGGGTACCTTGTAGATTCTGTAAGTCAGATGGGCTGGAGGTTAGGTCCAGGGAGGTCAGTCAAGGCAGACAACAGAAGGCAAGCACTGTAGATCCAGGGACATGAAGGGCCCTGTGTCATAGAGGGCTGGAAGCAGGCTTAGAATATTGGGTGGGGGGAGGGAAGGCTCAGTGGTTGAGTCATTTCAGGAATACAAATCAGAGTTCAGGCAAGAGTTCAGAATTTAGAGAGGGCTGAGTTTGAAGCATGGGGCATCGACAACACAAATGAACGTTGAGATTGAGCCAGATACTTTTTGAGGTGTAATATGTGTTTGGGCAGTGGGGTGGTGTATGCCTCCATGTATGTATGTCAGCATCCAAAATCAGTCTGAAGTCTTTTGTTCTCAGACCCTTATCCTCCTTGTGCTCAGAACTTCTTTTTTATTTAATAATATTTTATTTTTTCCAATTACATGTAAAGATAGTTTCCAACATTCATTTTTGTAAAATTTTGAGTTCCAGTTTTTTTCTTTCCCTTCCCCCTCCCCAAGACAGCAAGCAATCTGATACAGGTTATGCATGGACAGTCATGTTAAACATTTCCACATTGGTCACATTGTGAAAGAAGAATCAGAACAAAAGGGAAAAACCACAGTGCTCAGAACTTCTAAAAGCTTCTGTCTCTGTCTCTCTCTAGCCCGCTTCTCCTTCCCCAATCTCCTTTCTTTCTCAGCTCAAGCACCGCTTTCTACGTGAAGCCTTTCTTCATGCTTCCCTCTCCTCAACTGCTAGTATCCTCTTTCCCTAGACTACATTGTATTTATTTTTGTATTTATTCTGTAGATACTTACATATGTATTTATTTTGTATTTAATTAAAAATCCATACATCATGTTTGTCCTTATAAGAGCAAGGGCTGTGTCATTTTTGTTCTTATGTCCTCAGCATTGAAAGCAATGCCTGCCACATAGGAGGCATTCAGGAAATGTTTGTGGAGGTTCAGACCCTGCCTCTGACACATACTAGTTGTATGACCCTAGACAAACAACTTAACCTCTCAGGGTCCAGTGTGATTTTGTTATGTCTCTAAGTTGCAGAGAAATTACTGATTTGTATTGTTAAAGGGAGTTTTTTCATTAAGAACCCCTTATATCATTCATAAATGAAGTCCAATATATATTTAAAAGCTTATGTATTGATCCCTCTTGACCCTTACTTTTCCTCCTTCTTCCCTCCTACTTCTTAATCCACCAAGTGCAAAATTCTCCCAGGTGACTGTGGATCCCATAAAAGTGAAAGTAAGCCTAGGTTAGGTTGCCTAACTTTGCATGTTATAGGGTTAAAGTATATATATATGTGTGTGTGTGTTGGAGTTGGGGAAGAGGATTATGTCTGAAAATAGCTGTAATATGTGTTATATAACATAGAAAGTATTAATAAAGTATTAATTTTTTAAAAAAAGAAAGAAAATGAGAGTGAACTCAAGCTTATTATCATAGAACATTTCATGCACTTTTTGGTTTCTACTGTTCCATATATTAGATTGTTATGAAAACTTAAGACTTCTAGATAATAAAGGGGGAAATGCATTTTAACTCAAGTGCTGCTCTCACTGAAGTAGTGAGAAGCCTCTAAGAAAATTATGGAAGGAATCCTCATGGCTGTGATACTATGTTACCAGAAGGCTGATATTTTATGGTAGATATAGTCCAAAATACCAAGCCCCATAAGTCCTGAAAAATAAGAAAGGTAATTTTTTTCCAAACCTGTGATTCTATTAATTTTGTTCATTTCAGAGCATATAAGTACGAAAGTAGTTGATGTGTGGATAGGTCTGAATCAGCTGGATGCGGCTGCTGGCTGGCAGTGGTCAGATGGCACCCCGCTCACCTACCTAAACTGGAGTCCAGGTATTTATTGTGGCTTTTAGCTATACTACAACATAACACCATCTCAAAGGCTTAATAGGTGTTTAGTCATTCTGTCGTGTCTGACTCTTTGTGACCACGTTTGGGGTTTTCTTGGCAAAGATACTGGACCAGTTTGCCATTTCTTGTAGAGCTCATTTTACAGATGAAGAACTGAGGCAGACAGCTGAAGTGACTTTCCCAGGATCATACAGCTGGTAAGTGTCTGAGTGCAGATTTGAACTCAGGTCTTCCTGACTCCAGGCCCAGTGTTCTATCTATAGCTCCACCTAGTGGCACCAAAGCTGAACTGAACTCCTACAAAGCAAGAACACTTGTACCAGACAACAATCAAAAGCCAAGAAGCTAGGCAAATTGCCCAAGGTTGAAGAAAGAATTTGGGTCAGAGCCAGAATTGGGGTCAGCTACTTTTTTTTATAGTAACAAATTGTAAAATATTTATCTATTCAAGAAACAAAATCATCCCTTTATTTAGTGTGTTATTTGGCAGATGCTCTTTTAAGTCATTTTTTTCAAGGTACTATTAATGATCTAACAAGTCACGTAGGATTTTTTTAAAGAGTCACACTCTTTAAAGCAGCATGGAATAGGGGGAAAAGCATTGGATTTGGTGTCACTTGACGTAGGTTTATATACCATGTCTACAGGTTACGATTGTGTAACCTTGGGCAAGTCACTTAACCATTCTCAGCCTCAGTTTCTAAACCTGTAAAATGAAGGGTTTGGACTAGATGACCTCTGATTCCCTGTTAGCTTGAAATCCTATGAGTGGATGCCAAGAAAAGTTTTAGATAAATTAATTATATCTGCTTTGGGAATTTAAAGAGCTATTGTTTTTTTCAGATGTAAAATTTGATCCATTTCTTAAACATCACTGTGGAACATTCAATTCTTTGATGACGCAGTCCTGGCGAAGTCGTGAATGTGAATCTTGGTTGCCTTATGTTTGTAAAAAATATTTAAACCACACTGAACATGAAGTATTTGGTAATTATTTTTCTTATGTTAATTAGTCTTATAAGTTGTTTAATATTCCTCTCAACATAATTGAATATCTCCCTCCATCTGTTGATAATACATAATTCACACTTTGCTGATATTGATTTACATTTATCCAATAAAATATTTGTATCCACATAATTTCTACTATTCCAAAGGAATCTTGAATTCTACATATATGGTTAGGATATTGCTAAAAAACAAAAACAAAACAAGAAAAGATAACTTTAGCATATCAAATATTTCCCCTTTTCAGTTTTTCCCATTGGAATTCTCATTCTTCGAGCACTGGAACATGCAACACCTGTTTCTCATCTAAATCTACTCCTGAATTTCATTCATGATCCCTTTGGAAATTGACTAAATCACAAGCGAGTTTTACACAACTCTATACTTCAGTGATTTTCCACTGCATTCCACGCATCACTGATAAGCCCAATGGAGAAAAAGTCTACAACTTTTAGTAACAAGTCTTTAGCCCAACTAATTTTCTTTTTAAGATCTAGCTCCTCTTTTATGGAGGTCATTAGAAATCTGCACTTAGTCCAAAAGGTAAAGAGAAAGACCAAATGTTTTCTCTCATCATTAAAATAATAGAATTTATATATAAATCTTAGAATTTAACTTGTAAAATCAAATACAAAATCCTCTGTGTGGTATTCAAAACCCTTCGTAATCTAGCCTCCTCCTACTTTTCCAGTCTTCTCACACCTTACACCCCAACATGGTCTCAATATACTTTCTTTAAACAAGACACTCTCTAGAATCAGGGCATTATCTCTGGCTGTCCCCCATGCCTGGAATTCACTCCCTCCTCATCTCTGCCTACTGGTGTCCTTAACTTCCTTTAAGTCCCAATTAAAATGCCATTTTCTGCAGGAAGCCTTTCCCAAGCCCTGTTAATTCTAGTGTTTTTCCTCTGTTCATCATTTCCTGTTTGTCCTGTATATATATCTTGTTTGTGCATATTTGTTTGCATATTGTCTTCCCCATTAGATTGTGAGTTTATAGAGGGCAGGGGCCATCTTTTGCTCTTCTTTGCATCTCCAGTGCTTAGCACAGGTTCTTAATAAATGCTGATAGATTGATTCATCATAGCTAGGAGAAACTCAGTTGTTTCAAATTATAACCTGGATCGTCAGTTGTAAGGGTTTTCTCTTAGAATAAGTAAATATAGTTCATGTTTATGTTTTTATTTTCCTCTAAATATCCATTCCCAAAGTTCTTACAGAATTTAGAAGAGTAATAAGTCAATTTATCATCTCTATAGAGAGATTCTTTCAATATTTCAGTAATTTGCTGAAATTCACAAAGAATTCTCTCTTCCTCTCTCTTGTTTTCTTCTCCCTTTTCCTCCTTCCCTCCTTCCCTCCTTCCTTCTATAAAGTGGGAATTAAATCATTAATTTATTGCCAGTCAACATTCAACAAACATTTATTAGGTGCTACTTTGTGCACAGCTGGCATTTTTAAATGGTTAATGTTTGTCCTAGGTACTGGCAGATATACTAAGTTTTGATAAAATATGGTTGCTGACTTCATGAAGCTCAAAGTCTAGGAAGGGCATAAAATACAAGTTCAGAGGACTGTAACACAAAAAAATTGTGGCACGAAACAAAGAGCTCTGTGAGGTCAGATGTACGTCCCTTGTACCTACCAAACCAGGTATCTGTGAGAAACAGACTGCATTGAACTTGTGATTTCACTGGTATAGAGAACTCCTTGGTGAGGGAATTCCCACTACTAATTCAGGTTGGTACCTTATCTGCAATTTATTGTCTTAGAGAGTTGCCTAGAGCCCTGAGAGGTCAAGTGATTTGTCAGGACACATAACCAGTATGTACCAGAGAGCTAGGTTGTCTGGTTTCCAAGGCTGGTTCTCTATCTAAACACTCAGGTCTCTTTTCCTTTTGACATTATATTGTTCTGTCATCATCTCATGTATCTTAAAAGGTTTTTAGTTTTCAGAAATCACATGCAAAAATAGATAATAAAGATAATTAATAATATCACTATTCATTTAAAAAGATAATACTATCCCTACCTGTGATTATGAATAATATGTTTTTGTTTTATGTCTTTAAAATGAAAAAGATGCCTGGAAATACTACCCAACCCACTGTGAACCAGGCTGGAATCCTTATAATCACAATTGCTACCAGCTTCAGAGAGAAAAAAAAGCCTGGAAGACTGCCCTGCATTCTTGTCAGTCCAATAACAGTGAACTGATCGACATAGCTTCATTAGCAGAGATGGAGTTTTTCATAACCCTTCTTAGAGATGGTGAGTTCTTAAAGTTGATTGGTTTACCTTTTTTCTAATTGCTTCTAGACCTTAAGCCCATGATAATGTAGTAGGACATATTTTTTATTAGTGGGATAGAAAATAAATCCATCTATTTTTAAATTGATTTTGATGTTCTTGGGGTACTATTTTCAGAATATATGCAGCAATATAGAGTTTCAGCATTTTCACAAAATATAGGTTCAGAAAAAATTTAAAGGCATTCACATATTTTAGGCAGACAAAGTGATAGACACAATGATAGTTTTTAAAGTATGACACCAAGTGTGGCATTCACTGTTATTTTATGACTTCAGTTTTGAAGATTCGATGCTGAAAAGGGAGACCACTGAACCAAAAATTTTGCAAACGGTAAAAGACCACCAAACTCCTAGTTTAGTGATGTTGTTGCCAGTAGTAGTATGCCCTATGCATACAATCCAAGCAGTAAACCTTATTGTTTATTAAGTTGAAGTTAAATGCTGCTGCTGCTGCTGATGATGATGATAACGCTATAAGGTCTACAAAGAGCTTTATAGCTGTTATCTCACTTAGGCCTTACAACAACCTTGTGGAAATTATTGTCCTCTATTATTATTCCCATTTTACAGATGAAGAAACTGAGGCTAAGAGAGGTTAAGTGACTTAAGGTTTATATAACTAGTAAATATCTAAAGAAGGATTTGATCCGACTTCTTCCTGACTCCAAGTCCAGTTAGGTGACATTGTGCTGCCTAGTCATCCCCAGATCAGGGCTTCTTAACTATTTTTGCTTTTTTGGTTTTTAGCAGTCTTGTGAACCATATAGAGGCTCTCTTTCAGAATTTTTAAATGCATAAAATAAAATACAAAGAATTACAAAGGAAATAAATCATAGTGAAAATAGTAATTGTAATTATTTTCCTATCCAAGTTCACAGACCCTCTGAAATCTGTCCATCTGTGGACACCAGGCCAAGAAAAAGAATTATTGTATACATTAACTAGTAACATAAGTCCTTCTGGTAAAGTAAATTTGTAATGAAATAAAGGCCTAATGCAGTCGACCATTGCCTTTTTCCCTAACACTTAACTTCTGTTTATCAACTGACCTTGAATTTTCCCTTGGAGTCGAAAGCCCTCCTTGGTGGCTTGCTTTCAAATTGAGGACTTGCTCAGAATGAAAAGTACTCCAGAGCTGCTTATTTCCCAGGGGTTAGTCCTGATTTTTCTCTCTCAGTTACAAAGAGGTATATTCATTTTGACTAGGTTGTTTGAACCTCATTCACCTTTCTAATACTCATGAGTATTAGAGCTTCTCTTCCCAATTCCTTCGCTCTAGGATTTCCAACCAACTTTCTTCCATATTGAAAAAAAAAAACAACAGAGAAAACAGAAAACAAAGGGAAAAAACCAGATAAAAAAGTGTAACAATTGCTTGATGGAACTGAGAAGTTAAGAAATAGGTGTTTCTTTTTCTTCATCAGAAAGAGGTGTTTCTCACCTTAGTTGTTCTACTTTCCACTCCCTCCCCTCCCCATTAGTTTTCTTTAGATGTCACTTTCTTGCTTTGCATAGGTTTGGGGAAGTTAACAAGAATCCCTGAGGAGATGACTTCACTTAAGCTTTGTAGTGATTCCAGCCTATACGCTGCTTCAGATGTGGAGGTTCTGAATCTTTTGTGTGTTTTTTTTTAAAGCCTGTATCTCTTACTACAGATTAGAACACAGAACAAAGTTGTTGTTGTTTTCTAAGCATTTTGAAAAGACAGTTAAACTAGTTCAATCACATAGAGAATTCACAACTAAAATGAAACTTTTATTAAACAGTTGAAATAATGACCTCCTTTTTCAGATTAGGGATCCAAACAATAACCTCCTATGATCTCTTACAGAAAATGTATCGGAAACATGGATCGGCATGAGTAGCCATAGCAAGCCAGTTGCCTTTGAATGGTCTAATGGCTCTTCAGTCACTTTTACTAACTGGCATACCCAAGAGCCCAATATTTCTCTCAACAGCAGCCAACTCTGTGTTTCAGCTCAGCAATCTGTAAGTTTCCCCCATCATCACTAAGAGTCTTTGAAGGTTGAGTTGGTTTACTGGAAGGCTATTGTTTTTAGGGTCATAGTGACCCTATGAACTCTGTAGGTCAGGACTCATGAGAATCCATGACTGCCATTGAAAGGATACTGTAAAATTGAAGGAAAAAATTTATAGACAGTTTCTCAGATAAAGATCTCATATCTCAAATATATAATTTTATAAAATCTATAAGAATAGGAGTCATTCCCCAATTGACAAATGGTCAATGGATATGAAGAGGCAGTTTTTAGATAATGAAATCACAATAGTTTATAGTCATATAAAGAATACTCTAAATCATTATTGATTAGAGAAATGCAAATTAAAGCAATCTCAAGATACCAGAAAAATTGGGACACTGATTTATTGTTGGTGGAATTGTGAACTGATCCAACCATTTTGGAGAGCAATCTGGAGTTATGCCCAAAGGGTTAGTAAACTGCCTATATTCTTTGACCCAGCAATGCCACTACTAGGTCTATTTCCAAAAATGATTAAGGAAAAAGGAAACGAACCTATATATTCTAAAATATTTATAGCAACTCTCCTTGTGGTGGCAACTGGGGTGTGGCTGAACAAGTTGTGGTATGTGATTGTTATGGAATACTACCGTGCTATAAGAAATGATAAGCTGGGTGATCTCAGAAAAATGTGGATAGACCTGCATGAAATAAGGAAGAGCAAAAATGAGCAGAACCAAGAAAACATTATATAGTATACAGTAATATGCAATATTGTTTCAAGAACAACTCTGAGCAAATAAGTAATTCTGACTACTACAAATACCCAAATTAACTACAAAGGACGTGTGAAGGAAGATACTATCTGCATTCAGAGAAAGAACTGATAAAGAGAAGTATGTATAGAGTGATTTTCATGTGCGTGTGTGTGTGTATACACATATTTGTGTCTAATGATAGCCAAATCTAGAGTGGGAGCGAGGAGGGAAAGGAGGAAAGATAAAAGGGGAAAAGAGAAATTTATGTGATAACTTTATTACATATTTAAAAGGAATACCAAGCTGTACATAACAGATTTGCAGTTTCGTGTGCAATCATCTTTTTTATTATACTATATTATGGAAATGCTTGTTTTATTCCATAATTTAAAAATTAAATAAATAAAAATTAATAATAAAAAAAGCAGGCTATATGCATCACTCCCATAGAACTCCATGAGAAACCATGCCCCTGACCCCAAATGGCTACTTCTCTAGTCAGAAGTGTTTCTGTAACAGTGACACCCCCAACTAGTCTCAAAAATATCTAAGTTGACAGCTTTATTCGATTCATGTTCTTTCCCTGTTTACAATAAAAATCCACACCTCTCTAAATCAGAGCTATAGTGATATTTTCAGGCACCAGGTGTGAGTTTATATAATTTTCAGATTTTTCCCCTCAAATTGAGGGACTAGGTTTATGACAATCTTGATCTTTTACCTGTTTGTCAAGGAAATTTAAAGGAGATTTTAACAGTATTTTATGATCAGTCGTAAACAGAAAATATTATTTTGATAACAGCATATTTGAAAGAGTAGGATCTGAGAGTATGATTTAGGGATGATTATGTCCAGCCAGAATCTGAGGCTTATAGATTTTAAGTGACTGACCTTGGTCACACAGTAGGAGACATTAAAGGTGAGTTGTCTGATGAGGAAGAGGTATCAGTAAGAATATATATTTATAGAAGATGTACAAATCACAGGATCCAGATCAGATTATTGCCTTTAACACGACAACAAAGATCAATCTATGACAGTAATTTTTAACCTGTTTGGGGTCATGGACCCCTTTGATGAAAGGATCTGGTGAGGCCTATGGATACCTTCTTACAATCATGCTCTTAAATGTATAAAACACATAGGATTACAAAGGAAATAACTCATATTGAAATATAGTCATAAAATATTGTTTTCAAAAATAAACTCACAGTCCTTAGATTAAGAACCTCTTTATTATAGGATCATCAGTGAGAGAGATGGCAGAAATCATACAGTCCAACCCCTTCATTTTATGAATGAGGGAACAGAGACCCAGAGACATTAAGAGGCTTGCACAATTCACATAGTGTCAGAGATGAAATTTGAACCTAGGTTCTCTGACTTCAGTCAGATGCTCTTATGGAGAAAGATAAAAGTGTTAGGACTTAATCATAGGTGGAAAAGAGGGAGAGAGAAAATGAGGTATCTAAAATGATCATGAATTGTTTCATTGTCTCTGAGGTAGTTGTGATATGAGAAAAGATGAAGCTTTCCAAAATGCAAGTGGAGATGAAGAAAAGGGACTAAGAAAAGATTTCTATTGGATATATTGATACTATGTGCTATCATTCCATCTCTTTGTGTATCCCAAGATCTCTAGCTGGGCATATAGTTGGTGCTCAAGTGCTGGGCACATATAGATGCTCAAGAAATATCATTGAATGAATATTTCATAAGTTGGAAGAATGAGAAGGGACCTTAAAAAGAAAAGATGATGAAATCAGTGAGAAAGAAGAAATAAAATAATAAAATAGTGTCGGTGAAATTTAGTCTGGAGGAAATATTAAGGTGATAATTACTTCTATTATGTGCTGAGAAAAGGTTGTTTTAGAATGAGTGCCATATTAAGAATGAGCAAGCTATCCGATTTGCCTGTGATTGAACCTTAATTCTTTGCCGTTCTCTGTCAGTGAGGGCACTGAGAGGTGCTATCCCCAGTTGTCTGATTTCTGGGGCTTCTGCTACCTTTGATAATGAGGTAGCTCAGTGGAATATCCCAAGATCCCAGGTGCAGACCTTAAAGGTCATCTAGTACAACCTATTGCGTCTTGGAAAAGATAAAATGGAAGCCATGAATACATACAAATATTCAGAAGGATCCTGGCTTCAAGGGGGAAAAAAAGCTGTCATTTTCAGAGGACCAGTGACATCACAGGTGATGTCTCGACTTGCACATGAATTGGATTGAAGTGAGGCAGAGTTGCACAGAGTTATCAGCCTCACTCTGTCTTTCTGAGTCATCAAAGTCCAGTAGCAGGACAAAATTCAGGACAGCTGGCAGTGGCCCCAGATGCAGTGGATGACCATGGTATGTTCGGTATCTGACTAAACTCTAAGTGTCCCACGGCTCCATTATCAGCTTCCTTCATGGCCTTTAGAATAAATTGCTCTTATCTGATCATTCTGCTGGGGAAAGTCTTCACATGCTTGGGGTAGACATCCCCCTCCCAATTCACTGATGGGTTTGAGGACTGTTAGTTACCCTCAACCTGGTTTAGCCCATCTGCCAAGATGGTATTATTGGGGTGTGGCCATTGCACATACTACAGCTTCTTGGAGTCACAGGTGAGATCTGGGTCACAGGTGGACACCAAAGGTAGATGAGCACCCTGAAAAGGGCTCAGCAAGGCCTCACACCAGAGGCGCTAGTCCTTCTTTTACACTATATAGATATAGACCTAGATGTGTGTATTTATGTATTTATGTAGGTACATGTAGATATAATGATAGACTGGGAGAAGAGATCAAGCAAGTGGCAGCTACAATGGATCACAGAGTTAGAGCTTAGAGGTCATCTAGCACAACCCCTCACTTTATATATGACAGAACTGAGGCCCCAAGAAGCTGTGACTTATCAGAAGTTGTACACAAAACACTTATTCCCCTTATAAGATAGTATTTAATTTAGCATCAGGAGGAGGAGCTAGAGCAGCAACTTGGGGTGGCATTTCTGGGTGAACCACCAGGTGGCGCTTTGAGCTGAATCTGTACCAGCTCCATCGAGCGTACATGAGTGAGAGAACTTACTGGTCTCCAACTTTGAGCTACTAGCTCACTTACCCCATGCATGTGTGAATAGTCCTGGCTGTCCAAGCCTTCACAACGTCTACATACTCCCTAGTGTTTCCAGGTTCCTATGTAAGGGTGTAAATGTTCTGATAATAATTCGTAGCTCTCAACTTGTGGCCCCCAACTTCTAGGGGCCAATCTCTTTTTCTTCTACACAGAATTCATTCAGTCAGCATTTAAACTAAAGTCCATTGCCTATAAATGGAAATAAACATATTGAAGTATAACAGGGTTATGTCCAAGCAGTGGGATTAGCCCCAGCTGACCTCTGGCCCATCCTCTTCTGTGTTTATCATCTATTATTATCATGTGTATGTATATATGTGTATATATAAATATATAGGTACAGATATAAATATGTAGATATAGATATTTCTTTTTTGTTTGTGTTTTTTTTTTGTTATCATTGCACTTTTATTTGCATTCTAATGTCATATTTACTCCCAGGCCATAAGCTTTTGTTTCTTCAGTTTTTTCTGGGATATCTTTTTCTTTTGAGCATCCTCCTCTTCTGGTTTAGAAACAATTTGTTCCTTTTCAGTAGCATCTCAGTATGGCAAGGAGAACTCATGTATGGGTTGATTCAACCATGAGCTGTGTAAGTACACCGTCGCATTTCGGGAGCCTTGTTAGCCTGGATATGCTCAATGACAAGAGAATCCACATCCAAACCCTTCAGTTCTGCATTAACTCTCTGCATTTTTAAGCATATGCAGCAAGAATTCAGCACTCTTTTTGGGCCAGTGACACTGTGTCCAACCCCACTGCTTAGCCTGGGCACACCTGCCAATTCCACCATTATACTGCCTGAAGGGTAATTGTTTCTTCAGTATGATATCTTTCAAATACTAGGTAGCTTTTCAGATATGCATGCCCTTGATAGCTCGGGATGTTTCATGGGTGTTCTTGAATTGGACCCTTGACTTGCATGATTTTGTGGGGTTCTCTTGGATCAAGAGAGTACCTCACCATTTTAAATGATTACCTAGGACGGGTCAAGGGAAGAGCTAGATATAGACATTTCAATGTTATATAATATCCCCTCATCCCCCATCCTAATATCAGAGTCAAAGGGGAGAAAAAGGAAATGATTCTACCAAGCTAGAGCTTCCCTTGTCCTCATCCATGACTGATGATG